TCCAGGCGATTTGCACTTTGGATAGGGTATGAATGACTGATGAATGATAATAAGCCGGAAACGACCATTCCGGTCCCCCTTTTATTTGTAGATACTCTATCATCTGTATATGTTGCTAATTTCTATGCGATTGCCTGTGAGGGCTCCAGCTTGTCCTGTAACATGATCAACGAGCGCCACTTCAGAATAGTCTTGTTTTTCCTATCGAAATGACCAAGTGAGTCAATAATCACCCCAGTCTATGATGAGTGCACCTGTGTTGCCAATAATAGTCAGACTACGCACATCGATGATTTCGTCAACCCACTAGCGCGATTTCGACAACAATTGCTGGCTTGTAGTGTGTCCCCTTTGTGGCAGGTAGATTCTATCTGCCTGGGAGTTGGACTTGCTGCATCTTGGTCATGAGTTCGGGAGAGGGGCTGAACAGACGGAGAGTTTTACTGGTTATGCATCCAAAAGTGAGGTCCTCTTGCTGCCTCCGTCCGCAACTTTCGGGGAGTCGCAGAGTTTGTATTATCGCTAGCTGCGTTATGGTAATTCGAAACTTCGTATGTTCTCGTGATCCCATGGTCCAATTCTCAGTGTTATTATTTTCACATGTCATAGCACTACTGGGTACACGACTAAGATGGTAGGAATTTCAATGCAAAATCACACAGTCCTCCAAAGACATTATGTATTGACATAGGTCAGTGAGATTGTCAAAAACTTAGGCCAGAAAAATCGATAAAAACTTAATTAATTACAGCAAGGAAAAAATAGGTTCTGGCAACTTCTAGATGGAGCTTGGAATAATTAATGGGCCAGATCGCAGTTCGTATTCCGGAATGGGGAAGCTAACCTAACACTATAACCCTAACTCTAACTGTAAGTCTTAAGCAAAACAACAACCCTAAAAACTAACTCTAACCATAACCGTAAAACCTAACATTAAAACCCTGACACAAAAACGTAAATTTAACCTTAACCCTAAAGTACTAACCCTAACCCTAAACCCCACCACTAACCTTAACCCTAAAACATAACCCTAGGCATAACCCTAAAGCCCTAACCCTAATCCAAAAATCGTTCACCTTACCTTAAATCCCAGCCCTAACTTTAACCCTAAAACCTAACCCTAACCTAAACCCTAAATACTAACCTCAACCCTAAAACTTAGCCCTAACTCTAACCCTAAGGCCCAACCCTAAACTTAACCCTGAAACATAACCCTAACCCAAAAATCCTAACCAGTATCCCAAACCCTAACCCTAAAATTAACCACTGAACCTAATCCCAATCTTAACCCTAAACCCTAACCCTAACCCTAAACCCTAACCCTAACCTTAATACTAAAGTCTAACCCTAAAACCCTAACCCCAAAGCGCAAATCCTAACCCTAACCCTCATTAAGCCCAACAACCTGACCGAAACAGGCGACCTGCCTAACTCAGCAGAAGCACCTACTGATACCAAGTTTCCTCGATAAGGGAAAAACACTAGCTGATTACAAGTAAATACGTCGACAGTATCGACTCACAATGTCTGGCTACGAACTGTGATCTTACCTAATCTTGTATTGCCACTTGCGAAAAGTGAAAAACGAAACAAAACCATGAGATTCGACACAGGTATGCCACTGGAGAGCCAAGACCCTTTTTGGTAAAAGATAACTTTTAAAGTACTTGGAACCCCAGGTGCTAGCACCTCTGGGGATGGCAATACTTGTTATAAGTATTACTAGTTGATCCTGTTATCGGGCCCCAAATGACCATTCTGGTGCTCCTGATCTTTGTTCTTATCATTTCAAAAGGATTAAGTGTGTTAAATATTAAATAGTTGCAACAAAGTCTTCATTTCGAAAGCAACCAGGCATCTAATAGCCCATCAATCCGAATTACTGAGCGCCACACAGACATTAACATATCGGCTAGGCATAGAGAAATTTTAGCGAGAAGATGTGATACTACTACGAATTGCCCATTATCCAAAAGGCAAGGAGGAAAATAATTGACAAATGCAGAAGAGCCAGGGACATTGTTGCCGACAAATACTACAAGTTTTGACACAATCTGTATCTGCCGACCGTAGACAGTTCTGCATCGGTTAGTTGTCAAACGAACTTCTGGGCTAGGTCGCGTTTACACGGCAAGCTGAAATAACCAGGCTTCGGCTCTTTCACACCTAGGCCTTCAGTAAGCCACTCGTTTAAGCAACTTCGTTTATTATGTTATGAGGAATTCAGTGCCCCAAGACATGCTTTGGGCTGCGACCGTCTTTTTGTTCACTACACTCTACCGATATTAATTCCCTGTCTTGGCCGAGTTAATTAGGATATTAATGTAAGGCAAAATAAATCTCCCCATGTGTGAATTGGAATATTTCTTAAATTTTTTAAGGAGCATTGCACTGAACGTCTTCCATGCAATGACCCGGCGAAATGTGATGTTGGGTAAAATTCTATAACAGTGTGCATAAATCGTTGAGTGCAGTAATGTCCACCTTGTAGCACACCAGTTCTCGAGTTATTAGGGTCGTCCTCCATTCCTGTCGGTTGCTCCTGGGATCGTCCGAATGCCAACGAACATTCCAGTCCGCCATAGTGAGCTGACTTATCCTGGTAGCCTGTTAGGTGGAGTGGATGGTAGGGAAGAGAGAGGTTGTTGTTTCTTGTTTCGTTTTGTCCACCGCGTGTTTTGCATCTGCAAGCCACAGTCAGCATGCAGAGTATATGATCCCAGCACTTGTTTAGGGCGCCTTTTCTAGTCCCTTTACCATAGAGGAGGTAAAAGGTGATGTCTCTAAATAGGGTGGCTTAGATATCCCAGACGACTGCCGGACTCTACTATGGGCCACAATTGTGTTTATTGAGAGAACGACCCAGTTAACCAGTGCCGCCTACGTGATCGCATGCCGCTCTCTCCGTAGGACTTTTTGAAACATGTGGTAGGCATGTTGGAGGGGGAAGGATAGAGAGACAGAAAGCAAAATTACCCCCCCCCCCGCTTTGAGCTAATTGAGTGCTGAAGTGTCAACGGCGAGCAGGCAAATTCAACAGAACCATATTTGACTTTCCTAGTGATCATTGATCTTGTGGCCTCCGGGGGGTTTGAAGACGGCGCCTCATCTTGGAGATGACTAGGCGGTGATCCTTTCGGCCATTCCTGGTCCTCGCCCGCTCCCTAGGACGTCGGAGGTGGACGGGGGAAGAGGGAGAGCTGGAGAGGCGCGTGGGGATGGGAGGGGGGACGATTAGTAGGAGGGAGTATGGGTGAAAGGGAAACAGAATTACCGGGTGTGGAGGCACACAACCCGGGATACCCCCGACCTGGTTTAGCCCTCCGGTCGAGGCGGTTGCCGTGGTGTGGCCGCTAGGTGGAGCCTAACTTCGAGGAGCCACTGGTGAGAGGTGGTGCCAGTTAATTGACGCTAGGCGTAGTCAACACTCGCAAGCAAGTGTAGCGACGTACTGAATCCATCACGTGAACCCACATCTGAGCGCCTCTACACCCCGCATGTTTTTGTAACAGTCACAATTCTAGGCTTTTATGTGAAATACGAAGCACCCCTCTGCCCTGCACAACATAAACTGCCATTGGACTTTTTTATTTCCTCTGGAGCCAGTGGCCGAACTCAAAGATCATATATTTGGAGCAAAGCTTCTTAGGTTCGCTTCGAAGGCTAATATGCGTGTTTGGGTTGAAACCCATGAGATACTGCGGAATAACCGCGTAGTACTCACAAGCTGTCAACAGGGTGGCAGTGGTATAACGTTCTGAACAATCTACCATAGAGATTGCATAGGTACTGGCTATACGTCTACGGGTTTTTGGCCAGTAGGCACGTAGTCATTGAGTCAAATCGTTCGGTATAAAGTAGTATGTCTACGGACAACAAATTGTAAAGTTCACTGTTGATGTTGGGATCGCATGCTCCATACATCCAACTGTATCCCTGTGGAATGACCACAACAACCTTTCCGTATATGACAGCCCACACAGGAAATAATAGCATCTATAAGACATTTACCAGAGGAAGGGTAAGACAGATTATCCTTTATTGGTATTTTTTGGAACAAAAGTTATTTGCGAGTTGAGGTCACAGGATAGGGACTCAAAAGAGTGTTTGTGGAAGTTAATGAATGCTGAACAATTCGATCACAGATACAGAAGAGTAAGATTGTTAGGTCCACAATGCGACAGCGCCACACGTGACTGAGGTACACAATAAAATGTTACACCAGCCAGTCCGAACGACCGCGGTCCCAACGAACATGGGTCTTGACCGGCGTAAGTTTCTTATGCGAATCCGGGATTCCAAATTTTAATCCCAAAGTCGCATCTTGAGGAGCTGAACGGTTTCAGAGAGCCGAGGCCTTTGAAAGGTCTCGACAGTACGCGCACGATAAGGGCCGCCTCAAACACTGACTGACAAACGTGCTAAAATAACTTCAACACATGCAGAAATGGGTCTTTTGTGTGCGCTACATTTTGCTTAGTAGGAACAAACGCTTATGCCCGAGTTGTGTTATTTCTCTGTCGTTATAATGTCTGATGATGGGAGAACACCCTTACGCAGAAATACTGACCACATTCCTACAAAACATGAGGACTGCCAACGGACGTGTGGAAACTGACTTTGTGCTCCTTAATGATGTGGAGTCTGAAATACGAGGCGGTTGAGTCAGTCCAGCGCACTAAGCCGAACAAAAAAAGGAAATGACCTACAACCGGTGCCTGCTTTATGTCCAGTGGTCGTCGGTAACTTCTGCCAGAGAGGCCTGGAATTCCGCCCTCTGAGTTAAAGCTGTCCACTTTTATTGATCGATCGCGTGAGTACTCGGACGACGAATCAAAACATGGAGTGCAGGCAGACTAAAATGCAGCAGAATAAAAGACCGGAGCACACGCCCAGTAAAAAGGAGAAGACTGTGGACGACGCCTGAAGCAAGTGGCTTAACGATTGCCAGTAGGCAGAAATAAACGAAGGTAATGACATCACATAAGAGAGAAGATTCTATGAAGCTACAGCAGGTAGACAAGTCCTGCACCAACAGTGTCCCCTGCCAAAACAAAGCTGCTGGTGCGACTGGCCAGCGGAGGATGACCCTCCTACAGAAGGCGCCTCTCTCACAATTTTACAGGAAGACCGAAGAAATGGAAACGGTCGGCGACTCCAAAGAGGGCCCCAGCTCCAGCGACCGTCCGAGGCCACGTAGGAGTTCCTTTGTGCCGACAGGCGGACATCTCGAAGAAGGTCAGGTATTTCGGCCTCCAAGTCAGTCTAGCATGGCACCTAGTATCAAGTACTACGTGAGTCAACAACGCCGACAGCCCGATGGATTCCTCAGCAATTCAAAGAGCACGACTAGGTCACTCAGCATGCAGTATGTTGAGGAGGATAACTCGCTAGTTCACGGTACGTCCTCCTCTCCGTTTGGAAAGAACCGAAGTTTTGATGGCGTTGAAGGCAGTCAGGTAGACCCATGCGTAAGGCCCAGAGGCGTCTCTATCTCCCAGACCATGCCTCATGATGTTGATGTCGAATGCGGAAGTCATGATTACGTAGGACAGGAAGAGACTAGTGGGACGACGAGGAAAAATATAAAAGAAAAGGAAACGCTAGGGGTGGCGGACGAGAGGGACGAAGAAGTAGAGAGAGGGGAGGAGGTGGAGCGGGAGACAGAGCTGGAGTCGATACAGGAGAATGTAACAACACCCGAAGAAGCCAGAGAGGATGATGAGAACATTTGCAAGTACCAGATGAAGAACGAAAGGCAGGATCGGGACAAACCGGCAGAAACAAATCGGGAGATAGTTGTTGGGAAGGAACGGGAGGAGAAAGGAGAGGAGGAAGAAGAAATTAAAGAAGAAAAAGAAGAGAATCAAGATAAAAAAGTAGAGGAAAAAGAGCAAGAGGGGCAAGGTGGACTGGGGAGTACTGAAATCGGCAACCAAGAGAAAATAAATGCAGCGGAGCATAAAGTCTGATTACAAGTGTCCTTCATACTGAAGAGAAGTGTATTCTTCACCGGAGGTGCAGACAAGTTGTTGGCAAGATGTCCTTTAAGAACACCTATCCCCAATCAATCTTGCATTATATAATATTTCAAGAATTAGTGTTCTGATATGGGGGGAAAGTTTACAAGGTTTGTTTCTATTCAATACAGCTCTGGCAAGATTCTTCATGCCTTAGGATATCTTTGAGGTAGAATGATCCCTCCCTGGGAGTTGCAACTATAAGCGGTGTCTCTATTAGACTTTGCGAGTTGAGATTTTGGGTAACTTCCTGTTTGAATGGGCAAACTTGTCGGGCCAGTTATTTTTTTGTCAGTACGTAGACCCGGCTTAGGCCATTTTTTCGGCCTGGGGTATATTTAGTACTCTACGACAGTTTTAATGGTGTTTCGGCCTGTATGACAGCTCATGAGTCAGGAAGCCTGTGCTGTTTTAATTGGCGAGCATTGATATCCCATGAAAGCGTCAGGCGGTTGTGCTGGACAATCAGATGGTGATCTGTTAGTCGCTACGTGACACCCACCGACGGAAAAGAAGCTCATCAGGGTTTCCCAAAAGTGTCAAGATATACACAAGGCCTTGTTTATCTGCGTTTTGAAGCGAAAAGCAATGCTTCTAAAGTGAGATGGGAGGCCGTAGGCGTATAGAGAGATAGTAGTTGTATTGCAGTGGGTAACAGGGGCGTCAAAGTTTCCCTTAAAATTAAAGGTCATTATCAAACAACAGTCCAAAGAGAGCGAAATCATTCCTCTGTGGAAGGATGTTAAGCATGGCTAGATTACTATAGAAAGTAAACCAGTAATCGCAACTCTAACCTCTACCACGTCTCCCGGAAACATCCTCCCGGAAGTCTGTTCTAGAACATATGCAGATATACGCAGTGCTCAACTACAAAGCTATGCCTTTTTATAGGAGAAATGTCTGCTAAATAACGTAGCATCGATATTCATCATTCCGATCTGACTACCATGCGACATACCAACATTCTGTATTAACTTCGATCCGCCAATCGCATGGGCCCATCGGCAGATTGTTATCAGACACATGACCAATTCACTTTCGCTCTTTCTTCCTCTGCAATAACTTGAGACTCCATTGCTATTTTTCGTAGTGTTATATGCATTCTTATAAGGATGCACTGAGAATAAATGGTCAGGAAACTCGGGAAAGAGCTTTTAGAAAAAGGCTTAATCCCTCCCGAAAACTAAGAACTTCAGTCTATTTAAGTGTAACACTAGCATATAGAAATTAGCCTTGAGTCAAAAAATAAAAGAGATAGAGGCAAACAGGAGATGCTATAATATAGAGGAAACTAAATCGTAGCAAGTAATGATATGGACTACAAAACAGAACACAGTCTCCTTTTAAGGGATATGGAGAAAGTACTTAAAAAGACACAGTGAGCATCACACACAAAAAACAAAGGCGTAAGCCTTTTTAAAACGCACTTAACAAGAAAATACTGTGGAAAAGGGTAAAAGAAACCTGGAGTCCCAGGGTAATTTGGGAGGTTGCAGTAGATTGCATAGACGAATTTATTGCCTCTAAGGCATTCGGACAATAAGGTATACTGTGTAGGTTAGGCGACGAAGATTTTCAGGGCATAGCTTCGATACCTGTAGGTCGGCGGGAACTGGTCGTAGTAAGTAGTTAATGTCTATGATTTTTATTTTAATCTATACACACGTGGAAGAGGGCATAATGACCAGGTAAAAAGGCGCAGAGAAGGACAAGATAAAGAAAGGGGAGTTTGTGATGGACCACTGAACACAGGGGATCGAAAAGGACTAGGAAATCGAGGAATAAGATAAGGATTCAGACGTTGCTAAAATAAGTGACATGTTGGAAGTTAACAGATAAAACTAGGTCTAAATGCCTGGATAAATTTCAAAAGAAATAATGTGCTTAAGACTTATGGATAAGAATATAAAGTTGGCTTTGGTTGTCGGAGTACTGCAACAAACTGCAGAGGGGAGATCTGGAGATTGTTTCAGGAGCTGATCACTGCACTATTGTGATAGACGGCCCCAAAAAACCGGCTCACCACTTATTCAAGTTTTAGCTAGTATTTGCGATACTGTTTCGGCGAAGGGACGCCTTAAACTGCATACATAACCCACTGTTTTATTCACATTTTAAATCCAATAAAATTTCCCATTTAATATGCTAAAACGGGTTCGCCAGTAAAGGAATATCTGATTCTAGACTGACAAGTTAAGAAGTCGCTTTACAAGGGTGTTCAGGCCCCCGATGCAAGTTGGGTTAGCTAGTCATCAAGTGGTCCTTTGAATGGATGTCAAGTGGCGCTTATTTCATGGCTGTCCCAACTCTGCATGTTACAGTGTCGTCACCAGACATGGACATTTCACGAAAAAGTCCACTTGTCTGCATCAGCTCGCCACACCCAGATAACTTGGCTCTTGTTGATCCGCGACGGCGCTCTCGTCGGATACAAGTCTGTTTCTTTTGCTGATAAAATTAAATGAGGGCCGTTATACCGGCTACCAGGCATGGACGCGGCGAGCAATCAGTAGCGAGACTAGCAAGCAGCCCTCTTCTACCCATGTCAGTTCGGCCATTGCGAACGACGATCTTCATCGCGCACCTCTGTGCCTGGCGGTCGCGGTACGGTGGTTCGCGTGTGACTTAGTTTATGTTGGTGGCGGACTTCCATAGCATCTGCCGTGCTCTTCCCTCCCCCTCACCTTGGTCCGGGGGCAAGACAGAGTCAGGACGATTGGAGGTGGGCTTGGGCGCAGTGGCTGACAAGACTAAACAGTTCATGTACGCTTGCTGCATGCAACCTTATCTGCGCACGATGGACCAGGTCCCCACAGAAGCAACGAGACGGCTTGGATCCCGTCTGAGTGGGGGCGCCATAGAAGCCACGTAAAGAAGGGACCCTACAGCCCGACACTCCGTTCTGAAAGGTGGGCTAAGTTATGTCGTCAGCTTGCGCCCTCCTAAGTCACGAGTTTTGGCGCGTCGTAGTAATTTAAAGCAGCGTCAGATTCTTTATAGTGAGGAATGCGCGGAGGCGCCAGGAGAACGAATTCCGCGGAATCAATCTTAATCATCAGTCCACTGTCCAGGCTACCTGATGCTGGAACCGGGTGAAAGTGTCTTGCAGAGCTTAATGACTCGTCTACAAGTGTCACACACGACCTCGCCTCCGCACAAGACACCAGGTTTACACAAAAAGGGGATGGGCGACTCGGATCTCACCTTTGTTGAGATTTGGCTGTCCGAGCCCGCCAGCCGTCCGGTTGGGAATTAGGTCCAGAAACCAATAAGGCCGCAAAAGTTGCGGTCAGCCTCCACCACAGTGGCGTCCACCCTTTCACTCACGTCATCTTAGGTCGCAACGCTCTAGCAAGTAGGAGATAGTGCGGTCTCTGTCGTCGGTGGGGATGCCTTGATTAGCTCTCCTCACATCTAAACGGAGTAAAAGACGAGTTCCGGGAAAAAGATAATAAAGGAGATCGGATGTGGTTTGGTAGCCCCACCTGAAGTAAAGAAACCCCAGTCACCTCTAATACGGGACTGGTGGTAATAGGGGTTTTTGCAGGTGGACCTGGGGAACGCATAGGCAACGAGGTCCAGTGGTTGCGTGCAAAAGAAAAGCTATTAGGAATGCGCGATTGTACTCTGAGTGGTTGAAAAGTAGTTGCCCTAACCCTAACCCCTGACCTTAACTCCTGACCGTAACCCCTAACCCTAAATCCTAACCCCTAACCATGACCCATAACCCCTAACCCTAACCCTTAATCCCAACCCAAACAGTATTGTGTCCATCACACGAAGCCGCCAAACCAAATCTTACCAAAAAGGAGAAGTTATTGATGGAAAATTGGCCTTATTCGTCTGGCGCTTCGGACTTTTATCTCAAACCCCTTCTCACAGACGGATGCAGACTACGGTTCGACCGTCGTTCCCAATGATGTCCAATGTGTGCTCCACAACACGATGAAAGTAGGCATGCGGAATTGTGCGTGAGTTAGTCTATACCGAGAGTAGAATTTCACAGCATCTACCGCGTTCCTACCTTCATCTCCGTCTCAGCCTGATGTTGAGTCAAAGGTTAGAAGACCGGATGCGATGGGGAACACAGCCGGTTGACAGGGCCAGACCCGCACCTAGGCGTACCACCACAAAGCTGTTCCGCAGCAAACACCTGTCCAGGATTCTAACCAACAAAAAACAAACGGGTCAGAAAGAGGAGGATGACTGGGCAACCATGCACTTGACCAGAATACCCAGAGGGAGCGCGATTACACCCACCGGCAGGGAATCAGATGCCAGTGCACACCAGATTGCGAGGGCCACTGTCTGATGAATCGTGGCATGGCATACGCACAAATCCTCAAGGCCCAAAAGGCTTAGACGAAGCCCTGCATTTAGCCTAGACCATCACCCTTCGAGACCGGGTAACCAGTCAGTCATCGACCGAGGTAAACTACTCACATACACACGTACACTGCACATGCGTGCGAGTGCCATAGGTAACCTAAGAGGGAGCCGTTACAGTCCGACTTTTAACCCACCAGTCCGCCTCTCCAAACAAATACACATAATTGGGAAGACTGCGGGGCCTCCTGTAGAGTTGCAGACGGAGCCTCATCTTGCAGATGACGAGGTGATAGTCCGTCCAACCATCGGCGTCGCATATCGCACCGGTCACCAGTACGTCCTGTCAGTCGCGAGACCTGACGAGAGCATAGTCCAGCAACTGTCAGCGTCACGCCCGGCGGTGCAACCAGGTGGCCTTTTTCCGCATCGTCAGGCGGAAGAATGTGTTGGTCAGCAGGAGGCGGTGTGCAGCGCAGGTTCGCAGGAAAAGGAGGCCATTGTCATTGCAGCCGGCGATTCTGTGAGTACCCTGCACTCCCCTCCAGGCAGCTCAGTCTGTCCTGACGCGGGCGCTGAGGTCACCGAGGACAATCAGCTTGTCCGCTTTCAACAGAGATGCTAGAGGTGCGTGCAGGTCCTCGTAGAAATTGTTCTTCCACCTGTCAGAGCCATTTATTGGTGGGGCGTAGGCGCTGCTGATGGTGGCGAAATGGGATCGCCGAAGAGGCAGTCGAGGGCTCATCAGTCGGTCGTCGATGCCCTGCGGCAGGCAGTTCTGTCGTCCCACCATGTTGTTCTGGATGGCAAAGGCGACGCCTGCATCTCGTCGCTTTGCACTGGGGCAGCCGCTCCAGAAGAAGATATAGCCGACATCCACCTCCTTCAGCTGTCCTTGTTCGGAGAAACGGATCTCGTTGAGTGCAGCAATGTCCACCTTGTAGCACACCAATTATCGAGTGACTAAGGTCGTCCTCCATTCCCGTCGGTTGCTCCTCGGATTGTCCGAATGCCAACGAACATTCCAGTCCGCCATAGTGGGCTGACTTACCCTGGTAGCCTGTTGAGTGGAGTGGATGGTAGGGATGAGCGAGGTTGTTGTTTGTTGTTTCGTTGTTTTCACCGCGTGTTTTGCATCTGCAAGCCACGGTCAGCATGTAGAGTATATAAACCCAGCACTTCTTTAGGGCGCCTTTTCTAGTCCCTTTATAATAGAGGAGGTAAGCAGTGCTGTCGCTAAATAGGGTTGTTCAGATATCCCAGACGACTGCCGGACTCCACTATGGGCCACAGTTGTGTTTATTGAGAGAACGACCCAGTTGACTAGTGCCGCCTACGCGATTGCATGTTGCCCTCTCCGTAGGACTTTTCGACCGTTAACTAAGAGAATAGAATAAAAATTAGAACTGTTGGAGTATTGTGGTGGAATGGGGAAGGTGGAGAGAGAGTGGGGAGTTGAGGGGGAGAGAAGGAGATGAGAATTGGAGGAGGGGTGATGGGAAGGGAAGCAGATATTTGGGGTACACACAACAGCGGATACTCTCTACCTGTTTTCGCCCTCCGGTCGAGGCGGTTGCCGTGGTGCGGCCGCTAGGTAGAGCCTAACTTGGAGGAGCCACATGCGAGAAGTGGCGACAGTTAATTTACGTTTGATGTAGCCAACGCCTTCAGCCAAGAGAGCGACCTTCTACGACCATTGCGTGGACCCACATCTGGACACAACTACATCCCGGTGGTCGTGCTTGGCTAAATGACTGCTTCCTTATCCGAATACGTGTCCTCAGCTGCCACAGTTTCTTTACTCGGCGCGGATTTTCGGCGTGATTATGACTCCACGATTCGGCTTGTTGATTGTGTCGCCGGAAGCGGCGATCACGCAGCTAAGAAAAATTCCCAGCACTGAATGCGGAGAGTGGGTTGTTGCGCTTGTCACTCGACTGCGGCCCGAAAGACGGGGCTCAGTCAACTCGCGGATCATGCAATTGTTATCTGTCGTGAGAATTCCAACCTGGTTGAACTTGAAGGTTTGACCGGGTCCCGTCAAATCAACTGGAAAGTGAGTGCTAGCGTTATTCTGACGCACTTTCAGCCATCCACGTCTTAATTTTCCTGACTCAGATGCTTTATCCTTAAATAACTCTAGATGTTTCCTACCAGCGTAAGGTGTACTTCGGTCTCAGTACTTGGCGTCTGATAGCTGCTTTCTGTCTGCGTGAAACCCCAACTCCAAGTGGCGTGAGAAATCAGCTGACGGCTTATGGGATGCCCTTAACGAACGGGAGCGTTCACCGACATGTGAGACCGGTGCAGTGTACCTGCTCGTCTAGTTTGCGCACGTATCGGTTGAGGCGTCTGCGCGGGTGGCCATTCACCTCCAGAGCCCGTCGAAGGTACTGTAATTTGCAGCTCTGTCTTCCTGTTCACTGCAATCGCTTCAACATACCGGCGGCGTTTGTGGTTGATTGGGTGGTGGCTGTTGAAACTGTATTTGCACCACATTTGTCCCACTCATGAACATCCACCTACAATTACTGCAGCAGACTAGGCAGTAAAATAAGTTCAGCTGGTTATTTTTTTCCTCTTTCGTAAATTTTGTGTCCACGAAGAAAGCGTTAAGATATAAGTTAAATCTCCGCACCTGATACCGTTCAATGTCGACAAAGGTATAATCCACATGTCGAATCGTGAAATTTTATCTGTGGTGTAGGGAAAAAAACAAGTGCAACCACTGCAAAACCGCCTCAGTCAGTAGGCGCGAAATTGATGGACCAGTTGACTCGCCAATTATTCTGTCGAGCGTGAAATGAGTCTTTAGACAGTAATTCAGGAGTTTTGACCTGCTTGAGACGATTCTCTGTCTCATCGTATCTGTACTTCAGGAATAGTTTGTTGGCCTCGAGTGACATCATAGGATATTGTGACCTCTTCTGAGAAAAAATATATCACTTTCAGTTTTTCTAAAAATTTTGTAGATGAACTGTCCGCTATTTCCAAATCAGTGGTCAAAAATTTGAAACATCGAAACACTTGCTTTGCCAGTTCGTAATTCGGAATGCTTTTGATTGGTACGATAGTCTTGTGAGGCACGCCCTTTTTGCACACGTTGGGAGAGAAACAAAATCGGGCTAAGAACGTTCATTTGGCTTTGGTCATGCATCGGTCGAACGTCTATACTGAGTCCTAATTCACCATCGCATGATTCACCCTTATCTGCGGTTGTCGGTGGTGTTCGCTGGTTAAATGAGATTTTGACCACGACCATACATCTCCTGTCTTTCTCCTAACTGAAAACAAGTTGTTTTTATTCACTGACCATAAAAGGGGTCTACCACGAAGACACGGTAGCTGATATATCATCCTTAGGCTTGCTTTCTGCATTAACTGTTGCCATATACATAGAGCAAGATTTCTGTCTAAACCTTACCAGGTGCACACTGTACGTCAGAGGACACGAACCCCTGATTGATCCGCGCAGTCAGTCAACGTTTTCGTTTGAGCAAGTGCAGCAGTTTAGGATATTCAACCACTGGCTGTTTTATGCTCCCTGGTCGTCCGTAATTTCTGTTGGAGACGCCTGTAATTTTGTTCTTCGAATTTATGCGGTCACCCGTGAACGACCGATCGCGTGAGCACTCGGAAGACCAATGAGAACACGCAGTGCAGACAGGCCAAAGTGCAGTGGAATAAAAGGTCTGAACACACGCCCGGAAAAGTTCGCAAACGACGTCTGAATTAGGTGCAGCAACAATCGTTACCAGCCGGAAATAAACGAATGTCATGACTTCTAACACAGAAAACGATGCTCCGGATCTGCGGCAGGTAGACTGCTCTTGCGCCGAAGGTGTCCACGCCCATGACAATGTTGATGGCGCGACTGGCCAACAGAGAATGACCCTCCTGCAAAGAGCATCCCTTTCTCAATTTCACAAGTTAACTGAAGAGGCGGAGACAAACGCCGACTTAGAGGAGGACTCCAGTCCTAGCACCTGCCCGAGGTCACGCAAAAGCTCCTTTGTGCCGGCTGGCGGACATCTCGAAGGGGACCAGGTGTTTCGACCCCTGAGTCAGTCCACCATGGCGTCCAGCATTGAATACTATGTAAGGCAGCAACGCAGACAACCCGACGGGTTTCTAGGTGACAAAAGGCCCCCAGAGACAGTGCTGGGTAGGAAACAAGCTAGGAAAGGTAGCATGTTTGAGCTTGGAGAGCGTCCCGGAGTGTTTGAGCCGTGGCGGCGATTCAGTGCTGTTGAAAGCAATGTGACGGACCCTCGTCTAAGTTATAGCGCCGTCCCCATGTACCAGAGCAAGTCTCCTGACGTTATTATCAAAGGTTCTGATCAAGGGCACGTAGAACATGAGGAAACAAGGGAGAAGCTGAGAGACAGTTTAGAAGAGGAGGAAGGACGAGAGGTGACGGAGGAGAAGGAAGAAGAAGTTGGATGTGATAAACCCAGGAAGATCGAAAATGACAACAATGAGGAAAAAAGCGTAATAAGACGCACGGACTGATATGAATTGACTTCATGTGCCAGAAGAAGAATATTCCACACAAGGGATGGGGGCAAGTTATTTGCCCAATATTTTATAAGAAAAATCATTCCCAGGCAAGCTCTGCTGTTATATTCCAAGAGACGAAGCTACTTTACGATGACTTGTGCCTCAAGTTATATTTACGCCTACCCATGCACTATCAAATCAGTATGCGTACTCATGTGTCTTTACTTCCGTGTACACTTTGTTCCACAAACGATTAAATAATCTAATTTTTGTAAAACGTCACTCTTTATTCCGATCGAATAAAGTTCTGTCTAATATCACATCATTTTATGTTAACTATACCTGTGAATTTAGGGATATTATCGGGAGGACATAAGTTGCATATGAACGAGAAGAGTCATCTGTCCCATTATGCAAGGTGCGCGTTGCTTCTCATAGCAGTTCACAGTTCCCACTGGTGACTCTGCGATGGCATGTTTCCCCGAGAATCAGGAATTTGCTTGCGAGTTTTCAAACTGATAACATCAACAGGTCATTGGACGAAATGACTGGGTGCTGTAGGGCGTGACTGTGGAGGCCATAATTACGGGTTACAGTCAGGGAGACTGCAATCGACGTCTCACGGCTGCGCACACAAGGATAGAATGTGGTCGGCCCTGATCAGCGTTCCCCAGCGATGGGGCACAGATAGCGTGTCCGCAACAAAAGCAGATGGCGTTAGTTACGGTGAACATCCGGTTACGCGCGCAATAAATACAGTGTGTGACCGATCTCATGAAATGTTGGCGCAAGTTCCGAAATGCGTTTTCGATTAGGAAGGATTAATAAGGTAGGGCTGTAACGTTTATTAACATGTAGCATAATCCTATAGTATTTTTATCCTCCACTATGTCGGCTTTTGAATGTACTTCTTTCCGACCTCCTGTAGAAACAAAAATCGGTAAAAAATGACTAAATAAGTAACATGCTTTTTTACACTGATTTTTGTTGGTCTTATAAATTCAAATCTATTTTATGGAAAACATGCACAAAATATACTTTCTTTTACTTGTTTGATAGAAAATCACATTTGTCATGTTTTATACCCTGAGGAAGGTTACATTTTCGATTTTAAAAGTTTCTAATTCTAGGGGTTTTAAGACCGTGAGATGTCCATATATACGGCATCGCACATGTCCGTTTATCAATGCTTCTGATGAAATGTAAAATATAGTCCGCATCCATTGCGAAATTTTATGAACTCTTCATGGTATCTTCTTAAAGACATGGTGGAATGTATGATTTTCCTTACGCGGAGAGCATACACCTCGTAGACTGAAACCGCTGAACGCGAATGCAACGGCTGATCAGGCTCAAAATTATTTGGTAATTGGGAAACTTTTCGAAACCTAAATATACATCTTCTTCGGATATAGAATGTAAATACACTGCTACTTAAGTATTAATTTTTTGCCGAGTGTGGTTCTTGTAGGAGGTCGTAAAGGAGCGCATTCAAAAGTCAATATCCTGGCGAGTAAGAAATATCGTAGGATTATGGGGTTCAGCACGTGCTAGGGGAAAAACATCGTGAATTGTACTTCAACGCGCGTTCGCTGCTGTGGCTGCATGTCGATATACAAAATATAGAGAACACCACACCAAAATGTCCCACGCGAGGACAGTAATACGCCGACAAGGTCCTGATTAGATCTATACCTCTCGCCGATATAGCACTTTATTCAGGGAATAAGGCGTTTAGGGCAAACCATCCCACCCTGAATACGGGAAATGTAAAGTGACAAAGCATTCTTTTATATCCTTGCCGTAGTCATCAACACGATAAAAACCATTCTAGAATCTGTTATAGCAACTGCTCATTCTGCTTCGAACTTTAATAATCGATTTAACAAGCGTCATCGGAATCGCCGGTAGATACTTCTTAAACATTGCACACTTTAGGCGAAAGAATCCTGACAGATTTCTCCAACACAACGGACTGACCGTACTTATTTTTGGTCAACTCAGAACCTTTTCCATATGCATCTACCAATTTCATTATTTTGAAGGTTTCATTTTCCAGAAATACCCGAAGATGTTCTGAGAGATTTTTTGACGATACCAAAATTATCTGCTATATCTGTATCCTCGGAGATAGTCAAAGAAAGACGAACATCCAATTTATTTCTTTTGCGAAGCCCTATTCATGCGCATGATTGACCTTTTGGTGTAGGGAGGAAGGGAAAATAAGATGCGAATGTTTAATTTATACATTCCTCAGAAGTTAAACGGGTTCTTTAAAAATCACAGAGACATCATATGGAGGACTAGTGGATCACAGGCGGAGCTGATTAATTTGGTGGAGTTTTTAAATACTTTCCAGCCTTTGACAATGCTTCCGCTGCTCTTCTATATATTTATCAGAAATTTTTATTCTAAATGTGATGGTTGAGATGGAACAGACATAATTACGCAGTTTTCATGCTCACCCAACTGGTCCTTGGAGTCCCAAATATTAAGGAATGCTGGAATGTTTGACGACGGCTCTGCCGATAACTCCGGTGACGACCGAAACGATGAGTTGGCCGCTATTCGGTAAGAACAATATCGCGGATAGTGGTTACATCGACGGAAGGCCCAGCTATTTTCACTTAGGGAAGTGGTATAGTATCGATCTGTATGACCGACAAATAATCGAGAACCACCACAGTGCTGAATGGGTTTGCAGATACTAATTTTATAAAATCTGATGTTTGTTCAGAAACGTCAGATGTGGCATATCCCATTTGCATGCCTTCAGCGTGGCTTTTGGTCCTTACAACATGTTCCTTATGGAAAAACTATCGTATAATTACTCGCGTCGTACAGAAAATTTCTAAATCAGGCACGAAATGCAGAATTTCGAGGTTGTAATTTAAAGCAGTATTTTGCCGGAATGAATATAAGCAGGCATGAACAGCAGTATTTATCGAAACCAGTAAATTTCGCGACGACTGATCAACTGCAGCCTGTCGTTGCATAACACAGATAACAAGGTAGAATGATAAAGAGGTTTGAAATTCGACAGAGACAATCAATGTAAAACAGCACACAGACTCACTTGTATCCGATTTTTAAGATTTCAACCTGGGTTCGGAGGCCGACAATTCATCGAGTACTCAGGCCATACCACTGGGCACTGTGTGGCTGTGTGAGGCGTATCTTACCCCATGAAAAATAACTGGCTCTCGCTAATAACGTCAAAATTTTGTGACATTTCTTGGAAAGGCTGCTTAAGAGGCAATGTTCACATTCAGTCCACAGTTATCGTTATAGAGCGCACAGACTAGTAGAGATCTCTTAATGCAAGTCTTGTACAAACCAGAGACCGTTTGCTACTTTTCAAATCGTCACACAAAATACGGACTGAAGAAACAACTTTGGAGGGCTTGACATAACATTTAATTTAGATCAGAATGAGGGAAGTATTGAAATGCAGACTATGTTTGCCCTTTAACAAATTGTCCCTTCCGTTCCATATGCGCACCCCAAATTGGCAGCAAACCGAATTTACTTGCTATGCATGTAATAACTCATTCGGTCCTTCTTTTCTAGTAAACACTATTATTTTTAAAATGACGTTTTACTCTAACCTAACCAACTAATAAATGCCGCGTGAAATCGGCAAGTCATACCTAAAATCCTAACTTGCCGTTGTTCACAATTCTAATAAGCAGGGACCATTTCCCCAATTCAGACTCTAGAAAGTAGAGAGACGCACACAGACAGCAGATTGGTGTATCCTGAAGGATACAACAAATAAACACGCAAGGTGGTGCTAAGCGCTGTCCCCTTTATTTATGCAGGTCCACCTTCAACCCGATAACAGTAATTTGATGGCTTTGTGAGTTGCCCCCTCTACACTGGTCTGTCCTGAAGATCACTCATTAAACTGCAGTTAAAATCCGCTCAAGATGTTAGGCGATGCAAACGAACGTGGCAGCGTACGCATCTGACCTGAAAAAAGGTCACACTGTTGCCAGCGCGAAAACAGAGTTTATATGCGGCAGTGGACAGGTGCGCCAGGCGAGCAAGTCTCGCCCGGTTTAAGGAATGGATGCACATGGCGGCAGTGAGACCGGATCAAAAGGCATGGCCAGATGCCGTTAATTACCAAAGGACTTTATTCAGGCACTACCCCGCAGCACATTGTGATTGAGCAAAAGGAGCAAGGCCGCGGCTACGAAAGTTTTTCACTCTTTTTACTTCAAATCACACTAAATTTGCCGCTGCCTACCTCAGGCTGCGGTTGTCGTCGTTGAACAAACCAGACGGACTACTGTATGCAATTAACTTCGCCAGGGTTGCCATGCAAGGTATTTTTTTATTAACAGCTTTAAGGACTTAGATGCCAGCACTGCTAGGGATCTCTCATGAAAAGTCCGGTGTAAATAAGCAAGATTCTGTTTGCATGCCTTTAGTTGTTAAACGAGAAGAGTTCTGTACATCGCGGAGTGGAGAAGGACAACCTAGCAGCTGCGGGTCACTGTCTTTGTTTAAATCTGTGTTGTGTAGGTGCATAGCTGGTTTGTTACGTAAAGTTGAAAAAGGATAAGGATGCAGTAGTTGAAGAGGAAGAATAATAACTTAAAGGAGAAGTCGAGACATAAATATCAACAGTTTTTCGAGATTGGGTCCCCGAATCATAACTCCCGCAATTACCAGTCAATACCAGCTAAACAAATGTGTTTACGCAAGCGTAGTTGGTATTCGTTGTTATGAGCTCGTCTCCAACGTGTCTATGTGCAGGGCGCCAACAACAGCGGCAAATATAGTGGGCGTTTTGGGAGATTTTGGGTAATTTAGTTTGAACCGACATGCCAAACACCTATTAATTACGTGAGCCCGTTAGTCATCTAGTGAGTTCTAGCTAGATTACTTAGGAAAGCCTCCTTGGGCGGTCAGCCTCCTGTAGCAAATTTAGTGGATTATATACGCTGCAGTTCGCTGGGCAGATAATTTGACTCAAATGTCATCAAACTTACGACTTCTGCGCTAAGCTCGTCAGCGCGTTGGCTGTACACAAGCCTTCCTCTTGCTGTCGTGGATTCAAATCCGACCGTTGTCGCCGAGGTTTTCACAGTTAGGTCAAAATAAATGGCAACGTTACCTACCAAGCAAATAACTGAAGACCAATTTGCTTGGTGAAGAGCTGTGCAACAGGATACTGGTGCATCGCCGACAGATGCTTCTCTAAGCAGAAAATAGTAAGTTTGAAATCTGTCTTTGACCATAGACCAGAAGGTGTCTTTCGTTCTTAAGCAAACATTGGTGCAGTTGAATCTGAATTTCTATGTATGGGAATCGATCGAACAGGCCTGAATTAAAATTAAACAATGTTCCAACTACGATGCGCCAAGACGGGCTTTTTTCCTGACGACAACAGCCGAACCAGATTGAAACGTCCTCACCACTTTCACAATATGAGCTTACTACTTCTGACGCCGGCTCTTAAAGAAGTGCGTGGGTCAAGTGTGCTACCGAGAAAAATAAGCGAGACGTGGATGGTCGGTCCATATCGATCCGACATCTTGAGATTGTCAAGTATTAAAGGCGGACAAGAGGAAAAGTGTTATTGCTGTCTTATAAGCCGGAAATTACTGTTATGCTTTCCGAAGTTCTTGCTAGTACAACGTACTCGTTTGTAGCCACTCTTGAAGGTTCCAACCTGGGTTCAGGGGCCGACAACTCATCATGCAATCAATCCATACCACTGCGCACTGTGTGACTGCGTGAGGCGCACCTTACCGCAGGCAAAATATCTGACCCTCATTAATAATGTCAAATGAGAAATTCTCGTGGCATTTCTTGGAAAGGCGCATTACGCGTCGACCAGTCATCATCATCATCATCATCATCATCATCATCATCATCATCATCATCATCATCATCATCATCATCATCATCATCATCATCATCATCATCATCATCATCATCATCATCATCATCATCATCATCATCATCATCATCATCATCATCATCATCATCATCATCGTCGTCGTCGTCGTCGTCATCTTATCATCATTTTTAACGAATAATTGACTTAGAACCGTTTTTTTGCTATTTTATAGGACCGTTAATGTGCCGTTTCATATTCATGGTTCTTTTTCGAGTCCAAATCACCTATACATAGAATAAACTGATTTAAGGCAGCGTTTATGCAGGTCAATCTTATTTTTAGCCTTCATAGATTACTGACCGTTCATTTGGGTCGCGTTTGCCGAAAATATGAAAATGTATTTAATCCACTTAACCTTGTGCTCTGCGATGGTCCTTTTGCGTTTCTGCATTTTGAATGGATTTTTTATGCTTAGAGGAGCGTTGTTGGCACGCATTGCGCAGTCGCAATTAATCAGTTTGCGTCGGTGTGATCTCAAACTCGTTCATCCCATCACGGTTAATTCGCGTATGTTGCAGGTTTTTCAGGACATTCGGCAATCGGAATCTTTTCTGACCTGAACGACTTACTCTTGCTTAACTCCCCTTTCAGATGATATTAATTCCATAACGTGACATTTTTTCTCAAATCACCGTCTTTCTGTCTAGTCTTCGGTATCTTTAAACGGTTTATCATAAGATTTTCCAGAATTTTTTCCTACTGCGTGCGGTTTATCTACCTTAAGGCAAAAGGATGCACACGTTTTACGTGTTTTATTTCCACGGTGGTGTCCCTAATTATTCAGTTTGTTTCCTCATAAAATTTATTTGGCATTTTTACTATGGAAAACAGTGCGTAGGGGATTTTAAAGCTGGCCTGTCGCCACCGATCAGCCCGGTACGTTTTGTACACAAGAACTGAGCATTTTTGGTAGGCATGTGACCTTAAACACGCATCTTCTTTAACGCTAAGAGTTCCAGTGGATTTATTTTCGGATTTGAAATAATTGCTTTCAGCCTCTGTTCAGACAAGTTCCGGATGAAAACCTATATAATTATGCTGGTTTTTGTGATTTTCTGTTTGAGACAATTTTTGACAGTGTCACAGTAAGAAGGAGCCATCCCAACCTGTCTTCCTCAATCCTAAGCAGGGCCGACTTATCCTGTTAGTTGGCGGCAGCCTCCCAAGCCATGACTCTCAGCCGACCCTGATAAGCCCAAGTGCGTTGATTGCACTTATCACTCACACGTTCAGTTTGTACCTCCTTCCTATATAAATGCCCAGGCCCGATTAGATTTATGATAGTTACAGTAGGTGGGCTAACTCATGAAATGTCAACCGAAATTATGAAATGCGCTTTCGTTTCGAAAAGATTGATTAAGTAGGTTTGTAAGACTAAACATCGTGCAGCATACTTCCATAATAATTCAATTACCGCAGGATGTCGGCTTTCACATGAGCTTCTTTCCGGCTGCATTCAAAACTATACTCTGTAAAAAGGGCTACTTAAGTTGCATACATTTTTCTCATTGATTTTCGATGTCCTTAAAATACAATTAAATTTCATGGAAAGCATGCATAAAATATTCATTACCTTTCTCATTCGGTAGAAAATCACGCCTGTTCCCAACTGTATACTAGAAGGAACGGTATAAATCGGTTTTCGAAAACTTTTCCAATTCCCGAATAATTTTGAACCAGCCCCGCCGTTACACCTGCATTCAGGGTTTACAAACTACAAGCCGTATATTTTCCACGTACGGAAAACCATGCATTTCTCTACGGTGTTAATAGGGGACTACATGGGGTTCATAAAATTCAACAGTGAATTTGAGCCATATTGCTACCTGTAAAAGCCACATTGGTGAATGTAGTGACATGACGTTTTAAAAAACGACCATTTCACGATATTAAAAAATCGCACAATTAGAAGCTTTTTTAAAACCAGATTATATCCTTTTGAGGTACAAACATTAGAAGAAGACGTAACTTTTTAGCGAATAAGTAAAAGAATATATATATTTTCCATGCATGTTTCCCATGATATATGAGTAAATATTTATGGACATCGAAAATCGATGAGAAAAATGCATGCAACTTAAGTAGCCATTTTTACAGAGTATGGTTTTTGCGTGCTGCCGGAAAGAAGCTCCTGCAAAAGCCGACATCTTGTGGCAACTGAATTATTATAGAACCATGCTGCACGATGATTAGTATTACAACCCAAGTTAATTAATCTTTTCGAAACGAAAACGCATTTCGGAATTTCGGTGGGCATTTCATGAGTTAGCCCACGTACTGTATGAATGTGCTATTATACCGCGAGGATAGATTCACCAATGTCGGCCCTTCTCCTTGCCCTCTTGAAAGCCCTAATTCCATGCTCGAGCATTTCAGCCAACTAATAGCGAGTTTGGGTGCAATGACTGAAGAGGCGTGAAGCTCTGAGGTCTGTTGCACGCATGCACGGCGGCACTCATGGTCTGGCTCGGACTCAGCGCATCCTGATAAACGCGTACTGTAAGCCATTCTGGCTCCCATTTTTGTCCTTTACTTCTGCAGAGCGGACGGTTGTGATGGCCAACACCACAATTATTGAGGCAGGCGCAACCAGCCGACAAATGGACTCCATTTGTACTGTAATAACTGAACCCAGTCGAACCTTGACCTCCGTTCGGCTCTGCCTCTAATGATAGACTGACTGTGAATTTCAAACGCGGGAAAAGCAGTGACTCATCGAACGACGCGAGGTGATCATTTTAAGGATTGCTCATACGCTTTGTTGGGGTTAGTTAAAACCCCAAATTTTGCTTCGTACTGTCTGGTGGTAGTAGATAAAAACT